TGAGAACCAACTGGGGGCGTCGGGTCCAAAGGCTGCGCCATAGGAGATCCTTGTTCCAATTCATCTTCAGACACCTCAACTAGAGGAGCCTTCGTAGGATGGCGGTCCACACTCCCAACTTCAGTGTCCTTCAAGGGGAAGGCATCACCACAATCATCATCCTCACTCTTGGTGCTAGATGAATCATCGCCCAAAACACTAGGCATTGGCGCCACAGCGGAGGCTTTAGCAGTAGCACCACCACCCAATCCTTAGAGAGCAGCCCCAACAAAAGTGTCACCGCCAAGATTGGTAGAGGTAGCGGAATGCTCACCCTCCATCCCAGCACCTACGGAAGCCGAGCCTCCGCCAACATTCTCCGCAACCTCCTCATCGACCCCAGCGGAGGCGTCGATAGAAGCGGCCACGATCTTCTGTCTCTTGTTGATAGCCTTAGACGTGCCAGCCCCTTTTCTTTTCTTTGCCTCAGCCGCAGCAGTGGCATTCTTGGTGGTGGCTTTCTTTGTCTTTTCTTCAAGGGATTTATGCACCTTCGCGGGCACATCATGTTCCTCTTGATGAATCCTAAACTCTTCAAAAACCCTGTTAAGGCGGGGCATAGTACCGGCGATGGCTCTATGTGCTAGGTACTCCTTATCCAACATTTCACCAAGTATCTCGCACGCTCCTGCCTCAACAAACTTGACAAATTTCTCAGCAGCTCTACCCTCCTTCCGTTGAAAACCGAACCGGGGAAGGGAACCCCGACACCTTCGCCAAAGATAGGAAGGTGTACCATCTCAATAGTCATGGTAGGCATTCTCCTACCAAGTGACCAGTAGTTCGCCGCCACCATTTCCTTCACCAGATCCCCGCCTCTGGAATACCGATAGGCCAAAGCAAATGCCCTATCGTAGGCTTCACGACCCTCAGCAGTCCCCGGCCCTAGAGTAGCTTGTGTCAAAGGCTTCATGTAGAAGCCAACGGATACCGTGTATTCTTTCTCCCATCTTCACCAGTGGAGGTCAGGCCACCAGTCCTCATGTAAAACCAATACTGCATCCAATCCTTCGACCACTTGTTCTTTTGGGCAAAGAAAATCTCTAACTTTCCGCCCTTCTAATTCCTCTTTGGCATGAAAACACAACTACCATACTGGGCTATCAACTGGCCTTCACCCACTCGCTTAGGCTGGCGATGGAGCTCATAGTACTTGTAGAAGGTACCAACATTGGGCTTTGCACCATAAGATAAACAAGCCTAACAGAACTTGCTCAAAGTAACAATACCATTGGGCGTAAGGTGGTGCAACTGTACCTCAAAAGCCTCAAGAACTTGATGGACAAAACAGGCCATAGGGAAGCGAAGGCCACAGAGGAAAAAATCTTTGAAAACCACGTCGTCAGTAGCCTGTGGCTTAGGAATTATGTCCCCTTGCAGGGGCTTCACCTTAGCATCACCAAAACAATCCAGCTTCCACAACTCCTCAATCATATCCTTCGTCATAAGCGAATGCCCAAAATCCCATGTCCTAGATGAACCGGCCATGTCTCCTGCCTCCTCAACAGTTATCAAGTCGACGACGGAAGCCTCAACTCTAGAAAGATCTTCCTCAAGCCCTAGCGTCTCCGCACTGGCAACCATACACTCCTCAAAGCGCGTAGACCACCCACTCACCCTAACGCTGAGAAGACGGTGATACGGACCAAAGAAAGTAGCCCGGTGGGGAGGACTAATAGGCGAAGCCACTTCCAAGATTTAGCAACATCAGAAAGGAAGCTAAGGCAAGCGCCAATCAAGCGAAGGCTAAGCAGAAATGAAGAACAACAAAAACGATGGCAACGAAAAGCGATGGCTTAGATAGGGAGGGAGAGCCTTCACCTAGCCCCCTTATATAGCTAGCGAACCGGCGCTTCAACTTCCGCGCCCAATGGTCGCGTCTGCTCCGCAACGCGTCGGTTCTAGAGCCATCGCGTCCAATCAAAAGCCACCACGTCAAAAGGAAGAGGTCTGACACAGCGCATCCTAGGAGGAAGGGGGGAGCCTCCGCATCTCAATAACCTTGAAAAAATTGAGGAACACGACCCGCCTGCATCAGACCATGCCCTCAAGGGGGGAACTGTTGGGATGCGGTTACGAGCAGCGTAGGCCAAGGCTCGCAACAAATAAGGGAAACTGACGCTGACAAGATGTATGAGTGTATTGTAGGGAAGACAGGCAGATGCCTTCGCCATGGAGGCCGCGTCCGCGCGAAGGTTACCACGCGAAGGCGAATACAGGCAGTTCCCTTCGCCATGGAGGCCGCGCCCGCGCGAAGGCTCCTGTGCGGAGGCGAAGATCGCCATAAGTCCGGGCGGATGCGGCGGTGGCTGGGAGAGCCCAAGCAACGGCCAGGCAGGCTCTGCCGACAAGAAGAACATCTTGCGCTATCGCTTTGGGCCGGATATGGGCCTCCTAAGAACCTGTGGCTATGGCCCATGAAGAAAAAGGCGGTGCGAGAGGAGTATGCCCACCTTGCCCCTGGTGGTTGTAACTGTTGTAGGGATATACCTAGGATATACTCTAGCTGTTATGGGGTAGAAATGTAAAAGTAGATGGTAGCAAACAATGTCCTATAAAAAGAGGAACCAGACCCTGAGTAAGGGAGGTTGGTGAATGCATTTATAAAATCCTAATTGAGCTTGGGCCCATCTTCCACTTCTCATACCTTCGCCCAAAGCATCCCGCTGGGTGAAGGCCCTCCGTTTCCCACCTGTTGGAAACCTGATTTTCCAACAAGGAAAATTGGCTTCTTCCTTGTTAGGAGCTCAACAAGTATCACGCCAAAACTATCTTTTTAATTGGCCTGTATAGTAATACTCTGGATCTAGGTAGCTAAATGTCCCTTGCACAGCTGTAACCACACGAGTATGTGTCCGATACAAATCATCCTTCGCTCGAAGCTTATATGTCCATGTCCTACCTGATTTTGAACGAAGACTAGATCCACATGTCCGTGTATGATACGAAGTCTCGCGTCCATGTTTGATTATTGAGGTTCAGTCTAAGATGATAAGCATAGTAAACCAATTTTGTTATGTTTATGTAATTAGAGTTATAGATTTGTTAATACGTTCGTTTAAGCCAGACGTGGATAAAAATTCGTGGTCAGATCCAACGCAGGAGCATATATTAGTCATAAATGAACAGTAGTAAATAGTCACATCAAGCTAACAAAAAATTATAAATTAATGGGATCTATTTGTAGAAGAGTTTATGATATACGCCGGCCGGAGCAGGGTCCGTGTAGCTACCGCCTACTGCAGCTTTCAGTCTTTTCTTCTTCCGTCCATCCGGCGTGCGCGCTCTCTCTCGTGCGGCTACTGGGCGACCGCCGACGCCGACGCCGACGCCCTACGCCTAGGTGCCCGGATTTTTGTCGGTCCCTTCGCCAGCCTTCGTCGCGTCCTTCGCCGGCGACGAGCACCCACCACCACCAGGTATGCGCACCCTTTTCTTTCCGTTCCTGCTGTGCGAAACTGAGCGCCCGAACCCTAACTTAAGCTATTTGGCTATTTATATTCGGATCTGATCTAATACATGTCTCTAACTTCGATTATTTTGCACAAATTATTGGGTGTACAGTGCTTTACTAGGTCCGCCTCTGAAGACTGGGATATTTTGCATACACAGAGGATCATCTGTAAGTTAAATCTTCTGAATTCTGGATCCAACATTTGTACCATACTGGTGAATCTATCCCTTGCTTTACTCTTGAGTCTTGTTTTAGTTAACTTTTCTTTCCCTGCCATGCAATAGTTTCGTTTGATGAATTCGAGAAAATTACAAACATGGGACTCGAAACATGGGTCGTTTGCAGATTTGCCACTGGACCCACATTCATAGACACAGAATTCAGGGGAATGATGATACTCATTTTCTGAAGCACCGTTCCCCTTTTTTATTTTCAAAGGTACCATACTTACTAAATAATGATTTATTAGAAATTAATGACTGATGGGGGTCAAGATTTGTGAAACTGTGAAGAGCTTGGGTTCTTCGGCAGGGTCTGTGCTTCAGAGTAAACCTGCTGATTAACCACACACCCAAAAGGGAAAATGAAGTGATTTTTTGAAGATTTGATTTACTCTATAAAAGGGCATAATTTTGTGATACTGAGAGTGATTCCCCATGCCCCCTCGCTCAAGAAATTTGGGGCCTCATCTTAACTTGGGAGCATTATGCTGTCGATCTCATACGCCCGCAGACCCAACCAGTTGATATCGGTGCTTGGTGGGAACAAGCGGCAGCTAAAATCCCAAGGCAAAGGTGACAACACTTCAACGGGGTGGTAATCTACACGTTCTGGAACATTTGGAAAGAAAGGAATAGGAGGATCTTCCAGAACACCTTCATAGACGCAAGGCAGGTGGCCTCCAGAGCCAAAGAAGACATCGAACTACATGGGAGGGTGTTCAATAACAATTTCAGTTAGTCCCCACCTAAGCCGGTGCTCCCCTAGCGGAGACAGTGTGTTCAGTGTGTGCCCTTTGAGGCTCTCAGGCCATTGGCCATTCTGTACATAAACTTCTATTTCTATCTTAATTGAGTGGCAGTGCTCCTGCCAGGTTTTTTTTAAAAAAAAAAGAGTGATTCCCCAACAATATTAATAACTTCAAGTTTTTCCTTGATGTTGAACTTCTAACTCCATGCCTCCATTGTGCGAGTGGATGGAAGACTCCATTGTGATTAACCATTACTTCTGGTTGACCTTACATCTCTAAATTCTTGTTTTTCATGGAATTTGGATGCTATTCTTACCGGGACTACAAATAATAAAGCAGCAACCGCTGTTCCATGCACTGCTGAAGTGCCATTTCTATGTTTTTCCCTGTTTGTCATCTCCGTGCATTTTTTTTTGGGAAATCATCTCTGTGACAATTTAATGAGGCATGTCTGATTGCTTTTTCTGTTTCTTTCCCCAGAATCTTGCCTCCTGGTGGTGTAGAGGACATTCAGTTTCCTTCAGTTATTGGATAGCAATGGCAAGTGAATTTCCTGATGAAGTTCTTAAGTCTGTTTTCCCATTATTGGACGGGAAAGATCTAGTATTCTGCATGCTTGTATGCCGTCAATGGCGCAAAATCGCAAAGGATGATTACTTCTGGAAATGCATTTGCTCACGGAAGTGGCCGTCCATCTGCAAACTGCCCCCTTCTGACGCAAACTACAAAAGGCTGTATTTAACCTTCTCCAAGCCACGGGAGATGCAGAACCTTCCTGTACCAAGGCTCACATTCGAGGATATTGTTTTCTATATTGATATGTGGCTTGAAGGATCACTCATCTTTTCTCAAGCAGTTTCAGGCTCCACCCTCCGAACAGGCCTACAGTGCGCTCCCCGTGGCATTCCAGATATACTTGCAGCACATTTGAATTCCCAAGACTGCATCCTGATGCTTGAAGTGGAGCCCAAGTTGTCAATTCCCATGGGGCCAACCATCACTATATCTGTTCTTGCCCACCGCAAGGATATGAACAAGATGGCTTGCATCATAAATAAATCAACATTTGATTACATTGACAGTAATGCATCACGTGCTCTGGCTTATGAGTATCTCAGGTTTTCACCCAGACACCCATTCATATCCGACATTCGGGCATGGATGTCATTGCTTTTCCTGTACAAAGGAGCAAACGTCATTGAGGTATTTGGTATTGAGCTAGATTTCTGTGACGCGGCAAGGTCGGAGAATGAAATCTTGTGGCTTCTAGATATGCTTGATTGGAAATAGAAGTTTTTTCCCCCCCTTTGGGATTTGACACATGTAAATCATGTTCATGGTTGTTTTATCCTTTCCTGCTGGAGCATGTATGCTACTGAACTATATTATCAATTGGAAAAACTGGAATAAATGTCACTTGCCACTCCATGTGCTAACAGTTATTTCGTAGGTTTTTTCTCCTGAAATTGTTGCTCATCTTCACATAGCATTCAGTGACCAGTTTCTTTTACGATGTCATATGATTTCACAGATTATGCAGTTGTTCATTGTAAGTTTTGTGTGTTGACTCTGAAAAAAATGGGAAATTTACTATATCCAGTGTCCCTATGTCAGACTCTTGTAAAGTCTGAAAATAGCATGGCAGATATATATAAGATAAATTTCACTAAAAATATTTGAGAAAAATATCGACAAAGTGCTATCTGTTGCCTGAAGTAAGAACATAGCCCTTCTCAGAAGCCTCGGTTTCTGATATTATATAGGTTTCTATTCTTGGAAAAAAGATAGATTATTTCTGTTTTGACGATGATGTGGAATCACGGTCTTATCCCTAATTATTTGGTATGCTATTTGAGTACAATATACTCCTATTTGGGTTATCTCCTTTACCTACAGACACAGAATGCAGGTGTAAGATCACTGTCAGGACTCGCGTGTCTTGTCATGGCGACAGCCAAGGAGTTCAGAATGCACCACTTCCATGCTCTTCTTTTGTCAATAAATAGGTAAACGGAAAACGACTCCTATCCTTAAAATGCCATCTAAAACAATTAGGGCTAGTTTAGATAGCCATGTATCCACCTCAAATTTCTGTGCTAATTGCTTCACATATAACCCACCATAACACACATGCATTGAGATAGATACATAAGCATGCAAACAAGCCCTTAGGAAGAAATAATGTTGCCACAGACACGTCCGATATTTTCTGTGCTGCTCTTGACTGCTCCCATCAAAATTCATGTAAAGGGTATCTGGAATGTCTTTTGGTTCTAAATCGTTTGGGGCTATATATTTCCAAATATTCCATCGAATTTAAAATATATGTTGTTTTGGAATTCCGACAAGTCAATGTTTTGAAAATTCAATCACCGGCCTAGATAGAAGCAAGCAAGTCAATATTGTCATTAAGATATATGATTCTGGATTCACCATCAGAATACTTCGTTTGCTAATGAAAGTTTTACTCTTTAGATCTTTTTTTTTTGGACAGAAGGCTTCTTCCAGCTTCATGGAGACCAAAAACAGGGTGCTGGGGTTACCAGCTATTACAGGATAGAGTTGATGTTCCAGAATTAGGCCGCACATCACACATCATAAATGTTGAACATGAATGTAAATGAACAGAGATTTTGGGAACAACTCATGTGTTTCATTGATCTCATAGAATATATACATGTGAAGGGGTGTGTCCAAAGGACACAACTGACGGGAGAAGTTACATCTCTTCACCAAGAGATATGCCCCTTCGGTGACACAGATACAGTTAACTGTAAATCTAATCTCTAATCCTATCTCTAACTGCACGTCTAATTGGATGAGATCACCGATGAATAGATGCCTGCTGGTAGGCACCGTTTCGTAATACTCCCCCTTGATCAAATCTTCTTTGAAATCAATGCAGTTGTATGCTTGAATTCCTCGAAAAAACCTGTGGGAAAAATATGAGGAATACGTATGTATAAATATGCTATAAAACTCTATTTAAACCTTATAGGAAAATAAGGATAAAATAGCATATATGAGTGTGATTTAAATAAATCATTATGTCATTGGTATCCCATTAAAAACCCCGGTGGGGAAAAATATTGGAGATACGACATATAGATTACTCCTCAAAAACCATTTCAGGAAAAATATGAGGAGCAATATAAAGTGATATGTCGCTAAAACTCCTGTAAAAACCCAGTGGAAAAATTAGGAGAAAATATGATGACATATTATTGGTATTGCCTCTTGGATAACTCACATGAAAAACCTTTTCGAAAAAAACCATGGATGAGTTGTGAGGACAATGTGTATTTTTGATATTTCCCACAAAAACCCCGGTGGGAAAAATAGAAAATATGACACATGCTTATGTTAATATTATCTCATTAAAAACTTTAACAAGAAACCTTGTAAGTAAAACTTGTGAAAGAAAAGAGTATAATATGATGCTGGTACAGGTCAACATTTAGGAGATATCTCCCCCTGATTCTGGCAAATCTCGAAGTCGCCGTATACCAATTCCATGTATCAATTTTGAAACACAGAATTTAGTAAGGACTTAGTAAATAGGTCAATGAGATTATCACATGACTTGATTTGCAAGATGTTTATTTTCCCGCTTTCTTCTAATTCATGGGGATAAAACAGTTTAGGAACATTACGCTTAGTGATATTGCTCTTTAGGTAACCTGTTTACATTTGTGTAATACAAGCGAAATTATCTTCATAGATAATTGTAGATGATTCAATTGAACCAATACCACATGACTGTTGTATGTGGTTAATCATTCTGCAAAGCCATACACATTCTCGTGATGCCTCGTATAGAGCAATAATTTTAGAATGATTAGTAGAAGTCGTTGTCAGAGTCTGCTTAGAAGACTTACATGAAATAGTTGTACCTACATGTAGGAATACAAATTCTGTGTGGGATTTTCCGTTATGATGATCAGATAAGTAACCTGCATTAGTATAACCAATCATACTGGGATCATGATTTTTCTTGAAGAATAAACCAAGATCCTTTGTGCTATTAAGGTATATGAAGATACACTTCGCTCCCGTCCAATGACGACGAGTTGGGTCCGTACTATGTTTAGCCAGTAAGTTCACTGCAAATGCGATATCAGGCCTGGTGCAATTTGCAAGATACATAAGTGCGCCAATGACACTGAGATATGGGATTTCTGGTTCCAACACCTTTTCCCTAATATCCCGTGGTCTAAATGAATCTTTCCCTATTTCTAGGGAACGAACAACCATCGGAGTTTTATTAGGGTATGATTTATCCATATTGAATTTTTCCAATATTTTCTGGATATAGGCTGATTGATGTACTAAAATGCCTGAAGGACAGTGCTCAAGTTGTAAGTCTAGGCAATACTTGGTCTTACCCAAATCCTTCATCTCAAATTCCGTCTTTAGATGTTTGCGTGCTTCTTCTATATCCTTTGGGCTGCCAATGATATTTAAATCATCAACATACACGGATATAATACAAAATCTTGTTCGAGATTTCTTAATGAAAACACATGGGCAATCATCATTGTTAGTATATCCTTTCTTTAGAAGGAATTCACTCAGTCGATTGTACCACATTCATCCCGACTGCTTTGATCCATATAATGACTTTTGTAGTTTTACACAATACATGTTGCGATTTACGTTTGGATTTAGAATTTGGATTCCATCGAGAACCTTCATGTATATGTTTGAATCAAGTGACCCATATAGATATGCTGTCACCACATCCATCAACTGCATAGATAGATGATTTTGAACTGCCAATGATATTAAGTATCGGAAAGTAATTCCACTCATTACTAGAGAATAGGTTTCATTGTAATCAATGCCGAGTCTTTAACCTCGCTTTATATGAACCTCATTGTTCTCATTCTGCTAACCTCGCTTTATATCTCACCACCTCATTGTTCTCATTCTTGAGACCATCCGAGCGCTTTTTGCACTCTGGGTCTTGGGATCGAAAAAAGATTTTAAAGCCTTGTCAGAAAAGACTTTAGAAGGTGTAGGTATTGCGAGATGATGAATACCCTCTTATTTGACTAGTGAGCGAGGCTATCTCAGCTTGAATTGCTTCTTTCCATTGAGATCGGTCCGAAGCGCTTTTGCACTATTGCCATGGTCTTGGGATTACTGGATCATTGAGAAAGATTTTCTCGCAATTTCCTTAGGAGCGGCCGCGAGAAGTACATGTTGGTACCTCAACGCATTAAGAAGCTTCTACACCCTTATAATATGATTCTCCGTAATCTATGTAATTGATGAAAATTTCTTTCACCCCATTATTTTTGACTCAACATTTCCCAAAATGCTATGGAGTCGGGATGTTTTGATATCCCGATAATTGATGGAGATTGATATCCCACATAGATACCAAGTTTTCTATCGAATTTGGATGCACCTTGATCCGGGTTGTGGATTTAGTCCTTGAATGTTGGATTTGTATCCGCTATTGGGTGTCTACCAACTTGAGGTTGGCTTGGATTTAAGTCTAATAACTTGAGCAATTTAGAGGATTTAGCCCAAAAGACACACATATCCCATCTAGGGATGCATCTATTAGAACCATGGAGCATTATCCTTAGAGCGAATGTGTTCTTTCTCTCTTTTTTGGAAGTGGGAGTTGAATGGTTTTTATTGGTACCTCTTACTCATTGGAATTGCGATGATAATTTTAAATTAGCATCATCCCTATATACTAGTTTTTGAATGCGTCAACATTACGAAAAATTACCTTGTATGCGTTATATGCGGTATGGGTTTGATGTATGTGTAGCAATTTTCTCAACAATCCGTTTGCCATATCCGTTATTTTTAGTAACAAGAGAATTTTCTCAGTGACACCCCATTATAATCTATAAATTAAATGCTTCCGGCAATAATGTTATTTACAATATGTTGCAAGTTTATGATTTTCTAAACTTGTTGTTCGTTTAGAAATCTCTAGAGTATGTGGATCCTAATCGAGGGGTAATGCCTTGGGCATTCCAGATGATTTTCGGCATTCATTTTGTAACACTTGAAGTCTCCCAACTAATGCTAAGAAATGGTCCTCATTAAATATCAAGAGAGTTATATATAGTGGTAGGAACCATGAATAAGTCCCCTATAAGAGGCTCTTGAGGTATTTGATAATTGATGGAGATTGATATCCCACATAGATACCAAGTTTTCTATGTACATTTTGGCGCCCATAGAAAGGTCAAGAACCCTCACAATCACCACGATCGAGTCGCGAGACAATCACCTCCTCCATCAACGATCCTTGCTGCTCCAAGCTTATAGGTGGCGGCAACCACCAAGAGTAACAAGCGAAATTCAGTAGATGGAAATATTTGGCATATTCCTCCCATTCTACTTGATGATGAATCAATGATCTAGATGAGTGTGAGGGCTTTGGCTAAGCTCACAAGTATGCTATGTCAATAGAAATGGCCAAAAGTCAGCCATAGCAAATTGAATTAAGTCGCTCTGACAGACGCTGTATCTTGAGGACGCTGTGTTCAAACGATGCACACTCGAAAAGCCGACCGGACGCTGAATTCTCAGCGTCTCTCCCGAGGCAATTTTTTCGACCGGACTCAACAGGCCAGCGTGTTGTCGATAAACGACGGACAAGCTCAGACGATTAACTGACATCATTCGGGATTGGATTTTGCATCGCTTTCGGGAAAATGAAATGTCTATTTTCTATTACGCTGGATGCAAAATTCTTGGTGGTTGGCACACTTGAGCAAGAATGAAGAAGTAAGAGGGACCCAAACCCATCTCAACCCTACAAACACCTTGTGCACATGTGGTAGCATATTTACACAAATATTATCAAGGGTGTTAGCACTCCACTAGATCCTAAATGCATATGCAATGAGTTAGAGCTTCTAGTGGCACTTTGATAACCGCATTCCGATACGAGTTTCACCCCTCTTAATAGTACGGCTATCAAACCTAAATGTGATCACACTCTCTAAGTGTCTTGATCACCAAAATAAAATAGCTCCTACAAGTTATACCTTTGCCTTGAGCTTTTTGTTTTTCTCTTTCTTCTCTTCAAGTTTAAGCCCTTGATCATCTCCATGCTATCACCATTGTCATGTTATGATCTTCATTTGCTTCTCTACTTGAAGTGTGCTACCTATCTCATGATCACTTGATGAACTAGGTTAGCACTTAGGGTTTCATCAATTTACCAAAACCAAACTAGAGCTTTCAACTGTCCACTAGGCATAATTCCTCCTCCATCAGATTGACCCCCGTAGAAATGTTCTGAACTCGTTCCATGTCTGATTCTTTGGTTCGTGTCCCCGATGTAGGCCACCAGTATGGCAGTGATGATTCTGCAGCGAGCGCTGGTGTTCTAGAAGATGATGCGCATCAGAGTTGTCTTTGCTGGCAATAGCGGATAGCCTCCGCTGGAATCGACGGAGACGGAGAAGCCAACTCCGCGCTCTTTTTTTGAGAGCAACGTGACTGATAACGTGTTGAACGTGAATGTAAATGAACAGAGATTTTGGGAACAACTCATGTGTTTCATTGATCTCATAGAATATATACATGTGAAGGGGTGTGTCCAAAGGACACAACTGACAGGAGAAGTTACATCTCGTCACCAAGAGACATGCCCCTTCAGTGACACAATTAATTGTAAATCTAATCTCTAATCCAATCTCTAATTACACGTCTAATTGGATGAGATCACCAATGAATAGGTGTCTGCTGGTAGGCACCGTTTCGTAACAATAAAGACGAGCCCAAACCCACTCTTAAGTTATTATAAGAAAAAAATTCCACTCTAAGCAGCTTCACTTTTTTGAGGATATGGGAAAACATAGATTTTTTTAGATAATTAAAATAAATTGGACTTCATCTCTTATGACTAAGAGAATAAGATCACTTACTACAAACTTATGAAGAAACAAATAAATGCCATTCAAAACTCAATTCTAGCATTGGCCATCCAAAGGAAGAAAAAAAATGCATCGCTGTCATCTTTAGCACTTGGACAAACTTGGAGAATGCACTTCTTGTCGGCTTCACCTCGCTATAACTGTACCCAAAGGCTGGGTTTGATTAAGATTGAAGGATGTCAGGATGACCTTTTTTTTTGTCCAGCTCCTTTTTTTTCTCTTTGTATGTACCATACGCGTAATTTTTGGTAGTACTACTTTTTTTTAATAAAAATAGATCAGTAGGGTCCTTCCTCTCCTATTTGGCTATTTCTTGGAAAAGAAAATGATCTTACAATTACGAGCATGCTATGGCACGGTCTACAAGAAAACGTAATTGTCTTTGCTCGTTGTTAACTTCTCCAACCATTTCAAATAGGAGTAAGGAAGAATATTAAAGTACTCCCTCTGTTCCTTGCTTTTTTTTTCTCGATCACGTAAAAGTTTTACGCGTCTTTATATTAAAGCAGATAAAAAGTCTAATACAACATGTTTTTGTGGCGTCCTAGGATGTCAAAAGAGTTTGTACATAGACGCTCCGACAATGGATAGGAGGCCAGCCGGCACATTCACCTCTCTTTCTCCTCTTCTATTTTTTCTTGTCCCTCTTTCAATTTGAAGGAAGTCAGAGTAGTTTCACATAGTAAGGAAAAATACTTGCATTTTCAAACTGAGGAAGTAGACGGCAACACAGCAGAGTAGATACAGCGGTCTATATGACCTTCAAGCAAGCAATACTCAATCGGTAAAAGAAAGCAGCAAGCATGGATACAACACACGGCCCACGAAGCGTCTGAGGTTATTCCCTCAGGAAAGGCTCAGCCCACCACGACGCTCCTGTTGAAGATCCAGCTGAACCGGGCCATGCCGGGCTCCCCGCCGGCCGCCCTCCGGTGCGCCAGCTCCTCCATCCGCCGGATCTTGGGCGCCAGCCCGCACACGTACTCCTGCGATCGGCGGCCCTCGCCGGACAGGCCCCCGAGGTCCGCCACTCGCCACCACCGCACGAAGTGCTCCACCATGTCGCCGTAGTCGCTCGCCATGTACACGCCGGCGCGCTGCGCCACCGCGGAGAACCGCGCGAACAGGCTGTCGCCGCCGCCGTCGCCGTCGCCGTCGCCGTCGCCGAGGCCGTCCGACATGAGCAGGCCCGGCATGGTGACCTTCCCGAGCATGACGTAGGCCAGCGCGCGCACCATGCCGTCCGGGTCCACGTCGAAGAGCTCGGCGCTCGCCCTGGTGTACGCGGCCTCGTGCCGCCTCTCGTCGGCGGCCACCACGCCGCAGATCTTGGACAGCGTGCGGTCGCCGTGCTTCACCGCGAGCCTCGCCGTGTGGCCGTGCGAGATAAAGGTGGCGCGCTCCTGGAACGAGGCGTAGATGAGGCTGTGGTAGGGGCTCTTGGGCATCAGCATTTTCTTTAATTTTTTGAATGCGTGGTTATTAATCATCAGTCAATCACAGCTGATATCATATCAGTTTTTGAACATGCACGCGCACGCACGTACGTACGTACCATGCCGTTGCGGAGGGGGTGGTGGATGGTGACCTCCACCTGGCGCATGTCGACGCGGCCGGTGAGGTAGAGGTAGCGGTTGAGGAGGTCGCCGTGGCGGTTCTCCTCGGCGGTCCAGCCGCGCAGCCAGCGCGCCCAGGGGAGGGTGCTGGCGCCCGTGTCGTCACCGACGCCCTCGGTGCGGTTGAACATGCTCTGGTACGTGGGCAGCGCCTCCTCCGTCACCATGTTGCCCACCAGGCACACGAGCACGTCGTCGGGAAGGCACGCCGCGGCGGCCCGCAGCTCGGCCAGCTCCTCCGTGAACGCCTTGGCGGCCTCAGAGCCGGCCGCCGCGGAGCGCGGCAGGTAGTCGTGCGGCTGCCAGGCGGACTCCACGGGCGTGAGCAGCGGGAGCATGTTCTCCGCCACCCACCGTCCGGCCGCACCCAGCCCCGCCCATCCCCGCGCGCCGCGCCGCTCTGCGCCGGTAGCCGCACCGCGCCCCGCCCCGCCCGTCCCCGCACACGCCCTGGGCCATGAAGCCCTGCGCGCCGTGTCGCGCCCACTACTGTTGCGCCGCCCTCCCCGTCGTTGAACCCGGACGGCCATGACCGCGCCAGCCCCTACTGTGCCGCCCTCCCTTGCCCACTCCACAAGGGCAGCAGGGGCCATGGACCGGTAGTGGGGTGCCGGTTGCAAGCCTCCTGTGGCCGCCCGCCCCTGCCTGTTTGGCTGCTCCGGTTGCCGGCCACGAGCACGTGGTGGCGCACGGCAGCTTCCCCATCGGCCATTTTTGCCTCCCGTCGACCGGTTGTGCCTCCCCTGCACTCGAGGTACATTAGTTTTTTAATTTTGTTCTTATTTAACAATGGTTATTAGTTAGTTAGTGTGGTAGTAATTTAGATAGGTAGAAAGATATTTAGATTGATAGGTTGATTGATGGATACTTTACATAGTTAGTTACATAGTTATATTGTTAGTAAGATAGTTAAATACTTATATAGTTAGCTATATAGTTTGTTAGATAGTTACTTGACATAGTTAGTTAGTAGTACTTAGTAGTTAGTAGTGAATTGATAATATCTATTTAGTTAGTTATTACGAACTAGAGACCTTGTACTTAGTATGTTTCATTTATATTGGACTAAATGAAATGTGCTTCGTTATGTGAGTGAGCATATATCATGGAGGCACCGTGAAAAGAGATCTATCGGTGTTTCGATTAAACACCAACAAGTAAATTTGTGTTATTACGCGTCTAGCCCGGATGGTGTGCTAAAAAGACATAAGGTTTATACTGGTTCGGGCAGAATGTCCCTACATCTAGTTCGTGGCTGCTGCTCGTGTTATTTGCACTGAAAAATTCGTAGTAGGGGTTATAAACGGACAAGAGAGAGACAGGTCCCAAGTCTCTGATGGAAAGGTCGAATGGGTGGTGAGAGCTTGGTTGCTGCTTACCTATGAGTGATATGATGCGTGATGTATTTAATTGATCGATCCCCTTAGTGGAGTGCACTGCCTTTCCTTTTATAGACCAAGGAGAAGCAGAGATTATAGATGAAAGAAAGAAGAAAAACCAGAGGCAAAGGAGGTCCTTCAAAGATGCCGGGTCTTCCTTTTCCTCTGAGCGAACCCCGCTGACACGGCAAATGGTGCCAGGGATAGCTCCATCCTGGTGCGTGTCCGCTGATCCTGATAGGGCCGCGTTGGGCGTCTGTCTGCTGATGATGCCATGTTCTGGCTTTGTCAGCAAGTGGTCACGTCCCATCCCGCCCCGGCGGGCGGCGCGATGGACCAGGGTGCTGATCCGCGACCCTACGGGGAGCGGACGGCGTAGTGACCGCACGTCCATTACTGCAGATGATGCGAGTTTCCTCCTGAACCATAGTGGTTGTCGTATGCTTCCGTTAGGATCCGCGCCCGAGGGCAAATGGCGGCGCCCACAACACTGTAAGACAAATATCGGCGCCTACCACACTGTTCGAGCTCTGACATGCCTGGAAGGGTTTAAAGCGCCCGTCTTGTCATATTCTGACGGTACTTTTCTACAGGCGTGCAGGGTATGGTACTCGGTACTGCGGTTGACTCGAGTGCCCTCCTTATCTGCGTGCGTAGTTATGAAGGAGCAGCGCGCAGATGCCGAGAGAGGCGGAGCCAGCCCCCGGACGTCGGGCGAGGCGGAGCCAGCCCCCGGACATCAAGCGAGGCGGAACCAGCCCCTAGACGTTCGGGCAAGGCAGAGCCAGCCTTTCGACGTCGGGGAAGACGGAACTAGCCCCTGGACGTTCGGGTGAGACGAAGCCAGCCCTCAGACGTCAGGCGAGGCAGAGCTAGCCCCTGAACGTCGAGCGAGGTAGAGCTAGCCCCCGAACGTCAGGCGAGGCAGAAACAGCCCTCAAACGTCGGGCGAGGCGAAGCCGACCCTCGAGGGTCGGACGAGGCGGAGCCAACCCTCAGACGTCGGGCAAGACGGAGCTAACCCTCGAGGGTTCGACGAGGCAGAGCCATCCCTAGGGAGCCAGCCAAGGTCGAGCTGACCCTTGGGGTCCAGACGAGGCGGAGCCCATAGCCTTGGTGGCTGGATGAGGCAATGGCCAGCAAGAGGTGCAGTTGTGCTCCTGGTGCTGGGACGAATCAATGTTGACAGGTATTAACTCCTCTTTAGATACCCTAGTATTGGTCCCCGATAGTAGCCCTCGAGCCCTCGGGCGATTCAAATAGAATCGTCTAGGGGATTTTTTGACCTGCCAGGGGGTACGCGCGAGCGCACCCGGTGGTTGTAGCCCCGAGCCTGCGAAGGAGTAGAATACTCCTTCGGAGGTTTTTCCGATTTGCCAGTGGGTGCGCGCGAGCGCACCCAGTGGGTGTAGCCGCCGAGCCAGCGGAGGAGTAGAATATTCCTTCAGAGGTTTTTTTAAAAGAGTGGATTCTGAGAGCCTTGGCCCTCTATTGTTGCCCACAGCGTGCCCTAAAGACAGTGAGTTCTCCTTTACTGAGGTTGGACCCTTTGTGGGTGTGGCTGTGAGACTTGATGGTTAGTTAGCCGGATAGCTCAATTGGGATCCCGGTATCCCATTCGTGGGGATTCGATCGTGGGGTGAGACTCCTATGAAGCTCGTGCACCTGAGTTTTGGCCGCTCATGGGCCCATCCTTTGTCGTAAGGGTGCCTTGGGACGGCCGTCGAAACCACTGATGGGCCAGCCCTCAAACTCCTAGGCCCAGGCAGGCTGGAGAAATGCTTTTTGACCCGTATCCCTTTTAATGGTAAAGAGTCCAAGTCTGCCCGGGGAGGCAAAACGTCCGGCACGTCTTCAGAGGGAGGATAAGGATTGCGGGCGCATATCCCACGACGTGATGTGGCGGTGAATCATGGCAGGCACGGAGATCTAGGTGGATGGTTGCTTTCCTTGCATCCATCACCCCTATAAAACCAAAGGGTTCGCCCCTAGGGTTTTGTACTTTGCCTCCTCGCCTTTGCATCTACAACCTCCGCCACCAATCGCCTAAGCTCCCCGCATCCACGTCTCAGTCGTCGTTGAATTCGCATCCACCCACCCCAATCCTCCAATGGAGCCGTGGTGCCACTCTGATTTCACCCACCAGCGCCTAGAGGGCCTCTGTCGGGGACCTAATACCGGGGTACCCCAGAAAGTGGAACCAATAACCACCAAACGTTAAAAACTTCTGGACGCATAAGAGCGTTGCTTCACCCCTCACGAGAATAATAGGAGCTTGGTTCCACCTCGCCTGACGCCTTTGGGGTGGGCTCGGTCTCGCCCGAGGGCCCAGGGCTAGTCTCCATCTCGCCCGACGCCTTTAGGGCGGGCTCGGTCTCGCCCAAGGGCTGAGGGATAGACTCCGCCTCGCCCGACCCCGGAGGAGCAGGGTCAGTCTCACCCAGGAGATAGGGATTGGTCTCCGCTTCGCCCGACGGCAAGGAACAAGCCTCACTCTGCTCCATATTTAAAGATTGGATTCATCTTACCTAACCACTTCTCCCTGTTCCTTCAAGATGATAGAGACAGGGCAAGACATGACGTTCAGGTCAACCATGGCTCCAAGAGCCATACCCTGCACCCTGGCAGGAAAAGTACTGCCAGGGGATGACGGGACGGGCGCTTTAGGCCCTTCCAGGCGCCGCAGAGCCCAAAAGGTGTCACAGGTGCGAGCTCTCCACCCTGTAGAGTTGTAGGCGCCGCCTTCAGCTCTGGGACACGGAACCCGACGAAGATATACGACAACCACTACGCTCCAGAAAAGGATTTGCTATCTCCACGAACAACGGATATTCCGTCACCACACAGTGGACCCAAGGGAGCGACGCCTGCTTCCCGACCCCTCAGGTCCACCAAGACAGAAGACCTTGGCCACGGCGCTACTCTAGACCCCGACCCCGCATCCCTCCGACGAAGACTCATAGGAACCAGAAGGCGTGCGGAGCAAGGCTGGGGGAGGCTCAAAAGTCAAAACCACTGTACTGCGGCCCATACCCTGTGCAGGGTAGCATTCTGTAACCAACCTGACATTCTACAGGGACATCGACAGTATTGTAGGCGCTTATCTTCCTTCGCACTCATCAGAATGAAGAACTAGGCCGGGTAGATGTGAGCCACAAGACTAAGTAGAGTACGCATCCTAAAGCCCTCACCCTTATAAAGCCAGCCCCTTCATCTATAAAAGGGGATGTGCTTCCTCCATAATGGGTGGAGAAGAAAAAGATCGAACGAGACGACTCTCAGACACGCACAGTCAAGTTGTGTCGAACCTCTTGACATCCCTTCAATCCTTCCATCAGAGACTGGGGACCAGTCCCTCTCTCGATCGTTTGTACCCCTTATTGCAAACTGTTCATGGTGCTAATAACACGAGCAGTAACAAACTGGACGTAGGAACTTTCGGCCCGAACCAGTATAAATCTTGTGTCCTTTAGAGCACCATCCGAGCCTAACGCGCATTACTATAAATTTACTTGCCGGTGCTTGTACGAAACACCGACAGTTGGCGCGCCAGGTAGGGGCCTTGCGCGTTCCAAATCAGGCCTCGGATGGCCACCCACGCAATCACCTGGGTCCCGGGCGCACACGTGCGTTTTAGCGACCTAGATTTCATCATCACACTAGAAGGAGAGTTGGCGCTGACTCACTCTGCCGCCCCATCTCTTCCTTCCATCAACCTCAGTCGTCTTAGGCTTGAGGGCCCACCGGGCAACTCCCTGGGAGTCCAGTCACCAAGGGAGGTCGCGCACAACGTCACCCTATGTCCAGAAGGTCCCGTACGGAGCGCCCCGATAGTGTTTCCGTTCGGTCTCCGCAACGCTGCGGCAACCGCTAGCCACCTTCTGGCGCTACGGATGGTTCAGTCACCCACGGACATCGAGTTTGTGGGGGCGATTGAACATGATATGGAGACCCTCTAC